CAGTATGCTTTTCAACTTATAACACACTTTATATAGCTATAAAATGGGAGATAATTATAACACAAATGCTAGGACTTGGGATGTTTTTCTTCTATATGACCCCGTGAAGTTTTCAAAGCAGTTGTACCTCAATAAATTACAGGATAACATCCTCTTAATCATAACATTTACAAAGTCTCTTTTTTCTTTTATATAAATGTAAAAGACAGTCAATAAATGTTTGGTTGGAAGAACGGATAGTTGGATGGATGGAAGAAGGGAAGAAAGAAAACACATGCTTTTAAATTTTAACGTATTACTTGATATGAGTTATGTAGGTATGTTGAAGAGTAAAAATCCTTATGCAAGAGATCCTGAACTGATTTATTGTATCAGTAAGTTGTTTGTCTAATGTTTTGTTTTCATTCAACAAAAATTTATTGTGCAACTACCATCAGTTGGCTATTGTGCAAGTTTTGGAGAAACCCACAGTTGGTTGTACCATATTATTGGTGCCCATTTCTTTAGCTGCCAATTTTGCCCCGTAAGCATTCCAAGAAATACAGAATAAACTGAAACCTATACATGCACACAAAGAGTCCTGCATTGTTGAGGGCTGTACTTGTCAAAATCTGATCTTGGGAATCATTTCCTGGTCATTCTTAATCATTCCAGTGGAACCATAGCTGAATGTACTGTCTGTGAACTTTCCATGGATTGTGAAATACGGTTATGCAGAGAGGAGAGAACTCTGGCCACCTTCTCTCACTTTTGCCTGTATATCCTTGGGCCCTGCTGTCAGAATCAGTACATGCCAACCTCTCTAGGACCATATTAACAGAGAATGTCAGCTCTGGATGCATGTGATCTTACAGAAAGTATAACTTATGCACTGCTGTTGCAGCAGGTGTGGCATTAGGCAGTGCAGGGAACTTTGCAGAAGGGATAACTTGGTAAGTCCTGCCTTTTGTCAGAACTGTATGAGCCTGGATGATGGCTGCCTGCTTCTATTAGGACAGGAGAATTTGGATCTTGGGAGAGTGTTTTGTGTTCTTCTCCTTCCTGGCAAGCAGAAGCTTTTCCTGGTATAGTAGAAGAAACACTATATGTATTCTATACTGATATCCAAGGAAGAACCTGGGTTCATAATCCATTTCTTTCACTGTGGAGATGAGTGAATTAGTTCATACTTGTGACACAACTGGGCCTGAAGCTCAGATTTCCTCTCAGCCTGGGTACTGTGTTCCATGGTAAAATAACAATTTCAGGTATTTTTCCTTTACATAAGAAAGTTAGAGTATAGGAAGAACAAGAGTTTTGATGAACAAGGTCAAATATGGTTGACTGTTGAGGTGGAAAGAGTTCCAGTGTTGGCAACTTGGTATTCACGGTGGTAACAGTGGTCGTAGTGATGGTGACACAACTATCCTTGTTCAAACATTTGTCTTCGAATATTTTCTCAATACCAAAGCAGCCATATGTTTTGTCATTTTCTTCATTTTATGGCAAATCTTTCTCTTTTTAAATTCTATTGTGTTTCTCATTCATTCATTTTTTTTTGGGGGGGGGGAACCAGAGATTGAACTCAGGCCCTTGCGCTTGCCAGGGAAGTGCTTATTCCACTGAGCCATCTCCTCGGCCCCTGTCATTCATTCTTAAGTTCTAAGCCTAGATACACTAAGAGTGAATCTGCTAACTAGAGAAGAAACAAAGAAACATTTTCCATAAGCACTTTCCTCCATTATAAATCCTTATTAAATTAAATGGCCTTGTAAATATAACTTTGTACTTTACACAGGTGGAACCAGTAAATACGGGTTAATCGCAGGAGTTCTTTGAATTTATTTCCAGTGGAGGACAAGCAGTGATTAACCCATGGTCTGTTAGGGATCTTAGCACCAAAAGTTTGAAGACTCTGGTGTTTTGAGATGTACAGATAGCAAACACTTTTTACCCATTCATTGGAATCTGATTACCTGAGTAAAAATCGCAGTCCTGATTTGTGAAAATGCTGTGATCCTGGTGAAGTTTTTTGTTTCTTTGTTTTTTTAATTTCTAAGCTTAAGATTTTTCTCTGTAAAGCAAGGACAATAATAGTACTTTCCACATTATTGAGTTGTGTTAGGAATAAAATGAGACATGTTAAGAGAAAGCATATAAGAAAAGCTCCATTAAAATTTGCTCACAATCTGGTTTCTTCTTTGTGGACTGAGTGGGGACCCACATCCCTCAGGGTCTATGCAGGAAGCATGTGTCACACGAAGCTTCTTTTTTTTTTTTTTTTTTTTTTCCGGAACTGGGGATTGGACTGCTTAGCTGCTTAGTTGCCGGGATTTTTAACTCCTGTGGTAAGGGCCTATTCTACTGAGCTATCTCCCCAGCCCCACACTAAGTGTTTAAAAAGGAGAATTTCATATGCAAAGAAAAGAGTCCCCTGGTGATGCAGGCTATGAGAGGCTGCCCTGGAGATAATAGAATGGAAGCTGCTACCACCCAGAGGCTGTGGGCAGGCAGAGAGAGGGAGAGAGGGAAAGAGGGAGAGAGGGAGAGAGAGAGAGAGAGAGAGAGAGAGAGAGAGAGAGAGAGAGAGAGAGGCAGGCAGGCCAACAGACCAACAGACCGACAGACAGACAGGCACAGACAGAGACAGAGACAGAGAGATGCGCATGCACACATGGGCAGAAACAGAGACAAAGAGGGAGGAAGGACACCAAGGACAGTTAGCACTAGTAATACCATAGCTGTGGCCATTTTGTCAACACAGCTGGAGGCAGAAGGGAAATACTCACTTTTGAAATCTTCCTCTGAGACAAAGGAAGACAAGGAGACCTGATTTGGCTTTCGCTTTCAGCCCTTAGATCTCCTGGTGGGGTGGACTGTGGCTGAGTCTGGAGGCTGCAGTCTGTAGGCCAGCCCCGCCATACTGAACAGAGCAGGAGCTTGCTCTGAAAACAGATGGGCCCAGAATCCCTCAGGGTCAAGTCCTAGAGCTTAGCTGCTTAGTTGCTGGGATTTTTAACTCCTGTGGTAAGCAATTTGGAAGATTCAGAGGAGCTGTATTCCCTTTAGCTGGGCCTCTGAAAAACAGCAGAGGTACATAAAGTTTCTGCATCCAGACAGGGGAATTGGGGAAAAGCCTAGGAAACTGTAAGTGGCTTCTCTGTGGTCCCCAGATCCATAGCTTCTTAGAAAAGCCTGCTTGCTGAGAAATCTGTGCCTCAGTATCTGAAAATTTGTGGCCTAATAAGACACCCCCAACCTGCATTTCCCCTGCTAACTGCTGTGGGACAGTACTGACTGAACTCCTTGAGACATACCTCCAGGCCCCAGCAGAAATGCCAGTCTCAGTCTCTCTCTCTCTCTCTCTCTCTCTCTCTCTCTCTCTCTCTCTCTCTCTCTGCTTCTGTCTCTCTCTCTGCCTTTCTCTCACAATCTCCCTCTCCCTTCCTGTCTTCCTCTCCCTCTCCCTCTCTGCTCTCTGTCTCCCTTTCCCTCTCCCTCTCTGTCTCCCTCTCCCAAGACTGTGGCACCCTGGGCACAGGGACCCTCATTGTGTATCTTGTGTCCTCCAGCATTCATACTCTCATTTTATTCCCTGAGATAGCAACTCTGACAGACACTGATCCGCTGACCACATGAATAAAAGCAAGGCTAGCTTCTTTTGACTTTTATTAGAGATAGGAATCAGGCAGTTGATGAATTCTCAAAATTGCCAGGCGTTTTCATTGAGAATGTACAAGGCAATGCTGGACAACAAGGTTCCATCTTTCCTGTGGGACCAGGAAACCCTTCTTGAGAAAGTAACATCTGTGTTAGGAGTGAATAAGAACCAGCCTTATAGAGAGGTTGAGAAGTTGTGCTCCAAGCAGAGGAACCAGCACATGCAAAGGAGCAAAGGAACATTCCAGATTGAGATGCTGGAGACAGTGTGTAGAGAGATGAAGTCAATGGGAGGGTTTCTCCCCTTCCTTGCAGCATCAGATCCCTGCCCAGCACAATTCACCTTCTCCTCATGTTGTAATACGTACTTCTTGTCTGTGGCATATTACACCATGTGTTGTTTTGTGCATAGATTACTTGTTGAAGGGCTGGTGAGATAGCTCAGCAGACAAAGTGCATGCTTAGGCAAGCACAAGGACCCAGGTTCAATCCTCAGCATCACTGGCCCTGGCCCCAGACACACTGAGTCTGCCACTGAGACTAGGCGTGTTCTGCATGCCTGTAAGCCTGTAATCCCAGTGCTGGGGAAACTGAAAACAGGAAGATCGCTGTAAGTCCAAGTTGCATAGTGAGATCCTGTATTAAATACACTTTTTTAAAAAAGGGCATCTCAGGTTACTTGTTGGATTTTTAGTTTTCTAATTATGTTTCTACTTTCATTTGCCTAGCACATATCAAAGAATATAGTCTTTGTAGAACAGCCCGAGCCAATACTCTATGGGAAACTACTAGGTGGCATTCTTTCAACAAGGACTCACACTCATTCTTCCCCTCCTTTACACTTGGAGCCCTGTAGTAAGCAAAGTAAGATTAGTAACCTAGGCATGCCAGACAGAATCAGTTGTGAGGCAGTTCCTCTCTCTTGCCTTCTTTGAAATTGTGTGCAAGGCACTGAACCAGATTCCATGCATCTACTCCACTCCTTACTGCAGCATTACTGTGAGCAAGTTGGTCAGTCTCTGTAGACCATGGTTTTTCCCTGACGTCTGTGGCATTCCTAACATCTATCTGACAGTGTTAATATTCGGTGAAAGCACCCATGTAAGTGTCCAGCATGCATCCGCTCCTTAGTGAGCACAGAATAGCTGCTGGTCACCGCTTTTCATTTGGAAGAAGGTGTAGTTACTGTTATTACTGCAGGATTGCTGCCACACATGGGTCAGAGCGAAGCAAAACAGTAAATTTCCTTATTTCTCGCGGCAGGTAGTAGACTCACAGGCACATGGAACAGAGGGAGTTTTATGCTTGGTTTTGGCTTTTTTTTTTTTTTAAAGAGATTGTTTTGTTTCACTTTCTCACAGGAGTGATTGGAGCAGACGTGAGGGGTCATGGCCTCAGCTGTGAAGGACAGCCACTGACATCACGGCTAGCTGTCATCTGTGGAACATCCTCGTGTCACATGGGGGTGAGTGTGCTGTGCACCAGAGCAAAGCCATTGCACACGAACGCAGAATGAGGGGTGGTAGTACTGGCTGTCTCACCTTGCCTTGTCTCCTTCTTTTCCCTTCGTGCCTCTTTGTGTTCTGTCTAGCCAGGAGCCTCCAGACTGCCCTTCCCAAAGCCTGACATAGATTTGTGCAGTCCTTTTTTAGTGGCCAAATTCTTAAAAACCATGCAAGGGTTAAGTCTGCCTTTGAGAACAACCTGACCAGAGAACACAGGCATGGGGAGTGAAGTTGGATCCAAGGATGACAAAGCCTCATTGCTGTGGAGCCTTCTGTCTCTGAAGGTAGCATGGTCTTTCCCTGAGAAGTATCTTTCCTCTTTGGCTTTCAGACCGTCCATGTCTCTGGGAGGGAGCCTCCTGAGGAGCTAGAGAATTAGGGTGCATGTCGTGACTTCTAAAGAACCTGATAAGCAATTTTTACTTGTCAGTTTTTCTCCATGAATTAATAGAAAGGCTTTCTCCAAAATTGCACTTAAAATTTAGTGCCTGCCCTAACATTTATACCTTCTTTAAATTTATGAGTCTGAAAGCATTCCATTTTGATAAGTACCTATTTCTACCATATTTTTATTTAAAAATCATTACTTGGTTAAACTGAGATGAGTGACTCCTTGGATTTTTCCCAGATGAGTACAGTAGAGGCGAATGTGAAGGATGGGCAGAAGATGAGCAGAGAGTAGAATGGGACACAGCCCAGGGCAGAATTGCCCACAGTTTGGAGAAAAGGATATGCTGTGCCAAGCTGGTTAGTGCCTATAGGGACAGCACAGAGGTTTTTGTTGTTGTTAGTAGGCACTCTTGAGTAAATGTTCCTGCAGTTGCTTATTTGCTGATCCTTGCTGTTATGTCCTCTCAGTGTTAAACTCTGGAGATATAAGTATGACATGGACCCTCCCATAGATGAGATAGAGTTATAACAGATATTGTAGTACGAGGCTCCAATATAGGTTCAGACTAAAATCATGATAGTGAGTGTGTTATGTGCCAGGCACTCAACAAGGTGTTCTCACATGTGGCATTCCCTGTCCGAGATATTTGAGCCTGCCCAGCTGGTTTCCAGTTCCACTTCCTGCATTTTCTGAGAATGGGCCATTGGACAAGGTATTTCATTCCTCAGGGCCTCAGATTCCTCACCTACAGAATATGGAGCATGACAATCTATGTCTCCTGGTATGAGGACTAAAAAGGTGAAGTGCTTCACATGGGCAAGCATGTCCCCAGGCCTGCTGTTGATTACACCACTCTCATTACTGGGCAGCAAGGAGCCAGCGGCTCTGCCAGGAGGGACCAGAGTTACCGAAATCTTTGTGGAGTAACATGCATTTCTTTTTATTTGTTTCTCTGGGCTCTAGGTTGTGTTAAATGGAAGTTCCTTGACCAATTTTTTTTTCACGTTCCACATTTCTTCCCCTTTAGCAACACTGTAATGAGGCCACTGAAGGAAAGGCCAGTTCCCCTTCCAGCAGGAGGTGTCCAAGCATCAGGCCAGCCTACATTTCCTTTGATATGGCTCTATACTTGTTCGCTTGTCTTTACCAACCCCCAGTTTAAGCCATTTAAACCATCCCCTATTTTCAGTAGGAAAAACCTGCTTTGGCTTCCACCACAAGTCTGAAAGTAGCATGTGAACCCACTCAGTTTGGACTTCTGAGCAGAACACACCTAAATGAAAGGCACTGTCTCTTCTCCTATTTTACAAATGAGTAAAGTTGGACATGGAAAAGTCCAGTGATTTTCCCAAGTTTATAAACGTATTGTGTCCTGGATCTAGGAACTCACTTTACATGGTACTGCATGTGCTGACCATGCGCCTGTTGAGCAGTTGGGAGAGCAGATGCCTGTGGCTGTTAGACACATATGAGGACATCTTGCCATGCACTGTTTGGCCTCATGACTTGAGTGAGCTGTTGAACTTTCTGAGCTTTGGATTCTTCCTCTTTTGAGCTGAGTGCTGCTGGATATCATGCCTTACAGATATATGTGCCTACCACAAAATAGACATTCAGCATTGGAGGGGATTCTGATGAAACTTCCCCCATGACATAAATGGCTCACATGAAACAACTGTTCAGGCTTGAACGAATTTGATGGACAGGTGCAGTTGCCTGCAATGAATAAGGGCCATAAAATATCAGTTTATGATGTCCTATCTTACTGGAAATTCTCTGTCCACCCTCACAGGCTTTGTACTTCAGAGTGGGAATTGGCCTACTGGGCCAGTGGGATTAGACTTTGGTTTTACTGCTATGTCATGAGGGTGAGACGGTGGTCACACTGGCATCAGGAAGTGCCTTTGATCTCCCTCAGGTGCTGCAAGCACAGCAAGTCAGCAACAATATCACCTTTGTGAGGGCTAGGCTAGGTGCAGTTGGAGGAACACTCCCAGGGAAACTCAAGGACCCCTTTTGTTGTGGTTCTGGCAACTAGATCCCTGCTGCCAGGAAAAATTTACCAACCAGAACACAGGCCTAAAGGGTCTGTGAAGTTTTTGAAAAGTGGTTTTCAGCATGGTCTGAAGGATTCTGCTTCTTCCTGTCTGCTTACTTCTGATGTTTCTAATTCAGTGGGTTAATTGAGACAAAATTCCCAAGGACATTTTGTGTTTGATCCAGATTGCTTCTTTCTAGGTCACCCCCAAAGAATGAGTGAAAGAATGAACAAGTAACTGACTATTGGTAAACACTTAGAAGCCCCCTGCTTCTAGGAATCTGGAAAGCCTGAGGTAAAATCTAACAAGTACTAATCAGGCCTTTGATATTTTAGAAGGTACAAGTGTGGGCTGCGCATTTATCTTCCTCATGGATGATTTAATTAACAAAGAAAAATGCCATTTTTTTTTTAACTCCATGAAAGAAGAGCTGTCTGCTCACAATTAATTACCACAAGTTGCTGAAATCCAGGGTAACACACAGCAGGGTGAACCAGAGGTTAAAAAGTCACCAGGTCAGGGGCTGATCCTGCCTTTGCTCGAGTACTCCTCTGTGCTGGCAAGAGGAGTTGCAGTATGACAGCTTGTCCTGTAGCAGCTGTGCCATCTGGTTGGGGTGGAAGGAATATCGATGAGCTAAGACTTGCACAGAGCAAGACTTGGGAGTCGAGATGTCAGCTGCACCTTAGGTTGTTCAGGAATGAAATTTTCCGTCTCTAATGAACGTGGAGCTGAATGTCAAGAACATTGGTGGTTACCTTGAACGGAAGATCGGGTGCAAAGACAAAGAACATGTAGTGTAAAGGGGGCACAAGGAAGTGTTTGTGGTGACAAATATGGTTAGCTTAATGGTGGTAGTATCTTTATTGAGGATGTGCTATGTTAAAACATCACATCAAATATTTTAGATATGTGCCATTTCGATACAGTTTTATATAAAAGTAAAAGAATAGTGGAAAAACAATAGTATCTACATTCATGTACATAATGCTTTTAGTTTTATGGGCACTGTACATCACTAGAATTAGTCCTAATTTTAAGCCTGGTATATAGTAGATGATCATTAAATATTAGTTTTTACCTTTTTCCTTCCCAACTCTATTTTCTAACTCTACTGACATATTTTATTCTGCTGTTATTTATGTTAATAGTTCCAGCATGTATCTCAGGTGAAGTTTATACCTCCTCTGTTTCTGCCTGGGCCCATCCTGCCCTGTGGCATAGTAGAAGCTTGATTAGTGACACATGCTGGTTTTCTTTGGCTGGAGAATGGTACCAGTGCTTGGATATTCCTGCATCTCGTCTTACTACTTTATCATCCCTCATCTATTTTGCTGAGGTCTTACTGATGGGCAGAAGCTCCCATCAGTAACTCCCTGTAGCCAATAGGAAAAAGGAGATCAAATGGGAAAGGTGAGTGAATATTTTGGCTATGTTCTTATGGTTTGAGGATATATTCAATTGAAAAGAACTCATCATAAATCTTCAAAAAGATTGTTGTCTTTAGCAAAATGGTGTGAACTGACATGAATTTTAAAACATTTTGTTGAAAGATAGTTCACATATCATAAGATTTATCCCTGCCATGTATTTTTTAAACTTTTAGAGAATAGTGCTTAGTGATGTTTCAGAAAGACAAAGATTCAGTGTCCAACTTTAAAGGACCCAGGATAGTGAAACCAGCATGTGGTCCTTAGCACACAGGGCGATAATGGAAGAGAATCACAGTAGGTACTTCTGCTCACTTCTATTCAGCATAACGCCTACCTGGTAGATGTGTAGTAAGTTTTGGCTGCATGCATACTGTTCTAGTTTGATTTCTCTTTTTAAGCTGAGTGACTTATTGTAGGACCCAGTGTGGACACATATGTCGAGTATCCAGTCTTCACTGAGGCTTTCTCTTCTCTACTTAATGAACCGACCTTTTCCATGCAACACAGCAACATTGATGACTTCAGGCACATGTTTTGAATCATATGGGATCTGAACTTTTCAATGAATTATACCTTGAAGCAGGACAAAAGCAAAACTATCTAGAGAAATAAGTAAATATTTTAAAATATTTAAAGAAAGAAGTGTGTTTTTGCTTTTTATTCATACTTTGGGTTTTTTATCTAAAAGAAACAGTGATGTGTGTGTGTGTGTGTGTGTGTGTGTGTGTGTCTTTTATTACTTAACATTATGGTCTCAATTTTCCCACAAATGATTCAAGATTGTCCTTCGTCATGGCAGAGTAGCATTGTATGGTGTGCAATACACTTTCTTTATCCATTCATCTGTTGATGCACATTTAGGCTGCTTCCAAGATGTAGCTATTATGACCTGTGCAGCTATAAACAGATGGTACTTATTGGTCATTTGTACTTCTGTAAAATGTCTATTAATTTTACTTACCAATTTTTTTTATTGGGCCTTTCATTTTGGCAGTCTAGTTTTTTAGTTCTTTATACATTCTGCCATCTGAGGAATCACTAGGAATATTTTTTTCCCATTATGTAGGTTGTCTTTTCACTCTGATGGCTGTTTCCTT